CTGCATGGTTATTTCGGCAAGGAATCCAGATATGGATGACCCCATTGGAGCTTCTTTTAATTTTTGATAGTACAGATGATCAAATGCAAAAAAATTGTTTTCCAGGCAAATGTCCACAAAGTCAAGTGGGACAGCTGCAGGAACCCTCGTTTATTAGCTCTTCAGAGCTTCCTCTGTGCATTGCCTTGCTACACCAATTGGTATGGAGGTCAACAAGGAAACGACGTCGAAGGAGACCATTATCTCATCATTGGAGACCGTGATTTCCCTTAGTTTCCATAGAAACTCCGTAGAGTTCTGAATGAAAGTTGGCTGGAATTTACAAACACCTCAAAGAAGGGTGGAAGAGACTTCCGCCGACAACTGTGAACCAACATGAACCACAATTAGCGCTGAACCCGGACCGACTCAAATGACAGTTGCCAAATAGCCATTCGCCATTGCGACTGCTAATTACGTCCACTACGACGTGCCGTAAATTGTAACTACAAATTAGCGCCCACACTACTTGACTATATAACCGTATCAGTACTCTGAAATGTTAATTGTCTGATGCATTTGTCTGAGAGTCCGTTTTGTTGATGACAATTCAACTTAGCTATGAAATACTCTAAGTAATTACCTGCGTGCGTGCACGGCAACAATGCTTTAAAAGTCTGCTGAAAAACATTTCCCGAAAGACGCTTAAAAAAAGCAAATTTTGCACGCAATGCAACATTAAATCTCACGAAGGCTTGCACAGGGATCGTTTAATAGACAAAGTGAACGCTAGAAGGAAGGCGTAGACCTTTAACAAAAGTTTAACCATCACGATAGTGCAAATAAAATAAGTTTGTGATGAGGTTGCTAACAGAGTATTTCTGCGGTCGTGAAATATTTCCTAAAAGGCACCTTGAAGGACTGATCGTCAACAACAAAAGGTTTCCCCAAGTCAGACGTCAGGTAAGACTGATCTGGTTGGAATGTGTACTGTAAAAAAGGAGCTTACAAAAGGCCTTGCAGAAAAAAGCAGCTCACAGTAATCCGTCCAGTTGTTGTGTTACAGTGTGTGCCTCTGCGGGATCCGGGTCGTCTTCCACCCAATCAGGAAATGGTCCGCAGTGATTGGCATCAAGCTGTATCTGCAGTTGTCTTAACAATGTCTCGACATTTACGTAAAGTTGTCATTCAGAGATATTGAGATAACTCCAGCACAGAAGCCCAATTAATGCGCAATTCAGTATTGCGCCTTTGACACATCATTATGTCTAGTCGCTTGTGATAAATTAACGGTTGATTGTTTGAAGTTATCGCTAAGTCTAAAACTGTTAACAGGTATACAATGACCGATATAAGTAAAGCAAAACCGTAGTTTTTCAGTCTTGTGAAACTATGTCTCCTAAAATATAACACTAACCGTCGCGGGACAATTCCCCTTTTACTTTCCGGTTAGTACAACGTGCTATTTGGACCTGTTTTTATCCTTTTTGTACCTTGAAGTCATATTTACGCGGAGTACAGGCGGCATACCGGGTTTCTGCATTAGCAATAAAAATGGTCACAGGATTCATTCATTCAGAAAGACTGCATGAGCTCTCAACTTGGCAATTGGTGTGAGCGAAGTTAGAGCGCTCTCCTGAAAATCACCGAATAGAGTTAATTTTAAGCTGAAACGCAAGCGAGGGAAGTTACATTCCTAAGTTTGCTGTCCGATGCTATAAGGGCTTGGGAGCTAATATAGCTAGACAGTCATTTTATCGTATGAACTGGAATACGCACATCCCAAGAAATTTAGATTTGAA